GATGGATGGATGGATGGATGGATGGCATCTGCTGAGTGAGTACAAAAAAGCTTCAAGATGCATCCTTTCTTTTCCAAAGAGGATTTCTGCCAGCTTCTCCAAAAGGTGATAGTGTTGGAGTGTTCATCATCTGGAAGAGATTAATGCTTTGGAGGACTCAACAAATGTTCAAATGGGTGAGAAGGCTGAGATGAAATATCAACATGGAGAGGAGATGGAAGCTGCTTCTGAGGGTGAAGCTGTGTGGAACTCTCTTGGGGCCAGACCAAAAAAATCTCTCAGGAAGAATTCAGTTCTTAGATGACAACGAATGTCCAGAGAAATGCTTTTTCTCCACCAGCAAGGAGAATAAAATGACAGGCTGGAATCAAAACAACTGATAACAGCCAGAGAAATGAAGAAACAGCAGTGTTTCTTCAAAACAGATTCACACCACTGGAAGAAACTGAGTCTGAACAAAGTTCATCCTCTGACCTCAGATAGGGACCTGAGACCAGATCCAGCTCAAAGCCAAAACAAGTCCGAAGAGAGACTATCAAGAATCAAGAAATGCTGATCATCACAGATAAAATGGCGAATGAGATCAGATGCTTCTGGAACAAGAAAAAAGTCAAAGTTCTGAGATTTGTTGATAAAGTGTCTGACCTCGCAGATGAGATTCTGGAAATAGCTGAGTATCCAGCTCTGAAGACACTCATCATTCAAATAGGAAATGATGAAGTTATGAACCGACACTCAGAAATTCTGAAGAAGGATTTCATTCAGTTGCTGAATGCAGTTAAAAATCTCAACATGGATGTACTGATCAGTGGACCGGTTCCTACAACAAGAGGGGCTGAGAGGTTGAGCAGACTGTTTGCTCTTAATGGTTTTTTAGGAAAGTTCTGTGCTGACCACTCTGTGAGATATGTGGACAAATTTGATCTCTTTGGGGTCATGTGACGTAAATGGCGGAGTAGCAGCTCGGTGCATGGACTCCCGCAGCTGAGTATCTTTAATCTCATTTTGTAATGAGAAGAATGATTATTGTGACCTGAAGTATAGTTTGTAAGTTGCAGAATGCCTAGTACCCAAAAGAAGCTTAACCTTGCTGCCAAATCTGCTAAAATGGCCGAAGATTTGCTCTCCCAACGCAGCAATGATAGCATGGCGGACACGCGGCCATTGCTGAGTCGTGAGGATACGGATGGCTTTGTGGAAAGAATAACCACCGAAGTACTCAAAGGTGTGGAAGACTCATTTGACCGTAAGATTGACCCGGTGCTGAAAAAGCTTGAGGCCTGCTCATCTAAAATTATTACACTGGATAAACGTGTTTCTGAAACGGAGGGCCGCATTTCAAACATGGAGGACGCCACGGTGACTCATGTTACTCGGCTGTTGGAGGTAGAGAGGAAGCTGGAGGCGGCCTTGGACAAGATAGACGATTTGGAGAACAGGAGTCGGCGGTGCAATATATGTGTCGTTGGGCTTCTGGAGGACAGCGAAGGTACTAACCCGGTTGCCTTCTTCAAGACCTGGCTGCCAGAGCTACTACAGATTAGCTTCAAAGGTGGAGCTGTGAAGCTGGACCGATGCCACCGCGTCCTGGCACGATGCCCAGGCCCCGACCAGCGACCCCGTGCAGTCATATTGAAGCTCCACAACTTTCAAGATAAAGTTCAGATTATGCAGGAGGCAAGGAGGGCACAATCTCTGTTCTACAAGGGTGCTCAGATCATGATATTYGARGACTTCTCAGCAGCTGTTGTGAGGAAATGGAAGGAGTTCTACTCGGTGAAGCAACAGCATAAGGAGAGAGGGATCGTCTTTGCAATGCTGTATCCTGCCGTGCTCAGGATCAAACACAACGGGCAGGAAAAATTCTTTTAACATCCCAAAGATGTTGCTGCCTTTTTGAACGGAACCTCGCAGCACAGAGGGTCTTCCCCCCAGCTGGATCCCAGATGATTGAGTACTTTTCCCAAGGTCTGTATGGTTAGGACTCAGATTTGGCAGCCACATTTTATTCAAGATGCTGTGGATTGATTTACTTACTGAGCTTACACGTTATTCTTTTTTTTTTTTTTTTTTTGCAAAATATCAACATACAGCGGGTAAAATAAGTATTGAACACGTCACCATTTTTCTCAGTAAATATATTACTAGAGGTGCTAATGACATGAAATTTTCACCAGATGTCGGTAACAACCCAAGTGATCCATACATACAAAGAAAAACGTACAGAGACATTCTTGATAAAAATCTGCTTCCATCTACCAGGATGATGAAGATGAAACG